TCCTAGATTTTCTATGGGAATAAATTGTTATTCCCTTCCTCTACGGAGAAACCTTTCTTTCAAGTCACAAGATAAGAGCCATTGGTAGCAATGTTTTCAACTGGAGAGGAAGGCCTTGAGGACGCCCTGAGGTATCAATCTTTCTCTGTTTGTAAAGGTTTGGAAGAATTTTGTCAGACCGGTAAACTGTGTGAGCAACAACAAATGTCAAGGCACAAAGTGAGAATCAAGTTCATGTTAGCGTCCGAGTAATAGAAAATTGGTAGACCCTCAGCAAAACACATGCACCAAATGCACCAGCCTAATAATAATTGTAAGCTCTGGAACTCCAAATATATGATATGAAACCAGCAGCAATAATGTGTAGAGGCTGAATTCAATCTTCAAATACACATCTGTGGCAAGGAATTGTCAATAATCATTCAAGATAAACACCATGCAGTAACATGGCCAGACAGGTAAATAGTAAAAGGTAAGAAACACAACTTAGCATCTAAAAACAGAATGTGTTAGAACTAAAATCAGTTAGTCTATAATACTTCATTTTAATAATTGTGACCGTTACCAATGTATTCGTATTGTCAAAAGCCTCTTCAAAATCTGGATTAATTAATGTGAGTCAAAAATCTGGTTGTCTGCCTAACTATCAAACTACAAATCAATTGCCTCATCCAAGTTATAAAGAAATCCAGTGCCTACTCTAAGTCTAGCAGAAATCAAACATGGAATTTCAATAAGTTGGCAAAATCAAGTTGATTCACCTCTAATGCTATTTCAAGCTGGTAATCAAGAACTAGTTACTATCACAAAAAGGGTTGGCTGTCAAGCTTGCATAATACTAAGTTCCTAAATTAGCTACATAAATAAAGTAAAAATTGTAAAATCGAGAAAACTTTTTCACTTGCTGTTAGACAACTTTAATAGACACATACAAACACTGGCTGCCTCTTGTTCAATGTTGAACTGATCTACTTGGCGAACTTTCTAGAAGAGGCTTACAACTCCGATAAAACGACACAGTGCATATAAACATGGTGTAAATAACACATTGTAAATGTGACTTGAAATATTGACAGTCCTCCAAGATCTAAATGAAAATGTACCAAGCCCCTTCTACAGAAGGTCTATAATACCTTAAAAAGTGCAATAAAGTACCAAAACTAACAAGGAATCAAATTGTCATTAGATCCTAGTAGCTATGATTAAAAAGAGGAACTTTTGGTATGTATAATTGGAGTTGAAGCTAGAAAATGCCAATGTAGATAAGCATCAAAGATAGTTGGAAGTTCACCAGAAGAAAATGAAAGCCTCGCTTGATCAAAATCAGATATCAAATCCCTAAAGGAAAATCAATAATTGGAATTTCCCAATTCCACCATAATCCAATCATTAGAAAAACAAAAGGTAATCACCTAGCAATATCATAATACGCACAAATAACTATTCACATATAGCTCTACAAAGCAAAACCCTTCAAATATTCAGGGTCACGCTTGGCTCTCTCTTGGAACTTCTTGAACCATCGGTCCAAAATATCCATAGGCACCACCAGCTTCGACCCATCGACCCCGCAAAACGACTGCATAAAATTGAACAGATTTTCCCCCACTTTCAAGGCCAGCCGCTCAATCTTCCTCTCAGCCGCCACGTCAAGAGATGGAAGGGCTGCCAAGTCCTCCACCGACACCCCAATCTTGGCAGATAGCGGCGAAACATCAGGCGCCGTTAGCTGCAGCTGGGAACCGTTGCTACCAGTTTCCGGCCACGGCAGTGATAGAACCGCGGAGGGACGCGAAACCGTTACCGCCCCACAAAACGAAAAAGGGCTGCCTGGAGACTGGATGTAGACGGCCAAGGCCTTGTCGGGTGGGAGCGTGAAATTGTTAAGCAAAAATATGCAGACTTCTCGGATTGAATCATACTCCTCACCGACGAAGTGATTCATGTCCAAGACCCAGTGGAAGGTATCGATTTGGGTGAAGGTGGAGATGTCTAGGGGAAAGCTGCGATTTGGAAAAACTACTCCGAACATTTTTGTGTCTGCCTTTTATTATTTTCTTGAGAATTATGATTTCTGGGCCTTGTGTTTATGCAAGAAATTGAGAGAATGTGCACGGAGAAAATTGGGAGTGGAAGATTTTAAGAGGATCTGAGTGAAAACTTANTTGTGTTTATGCAAGAAATTGAGAGAATGTGCACGGAGAAAATTGGGAGTGGAAGATTTTAAGAGGATCTGAGTGAAAACTTAGAGGTATTGAGAATTTGTGAAGAAGAGTCTTAGGAAAGTCCAGAACGGTCTGGAGTAATGGCGTCGAGGTATAGAGAGCAAAATGTGTAATTGGCCCTTTGTGGGTGATCGAGTCAGTGGAGAGTATGTGAACGCGAAAATCTTTAATCACGAGTTCGATTTTTTTTTACTAACACTTTTTCGATCAAATTTGTCGTATCGGACTTGTCTAGTGCTGTTTACCTGGTTGGCATGATTTGCAGGCTATTGCGTCTGCCCGAAAAGTACTCAAAGGGTAATGACTGCGAGTTCACCGTTATAAAAAAATGTGTAATTGCTACAAGTAGATGGGGGACAGTATAGCAAAATTTCAAGCCAACCTAAAGTCACATTTGGTTTTGCAAGAAACCCATATTTGTCCATAGATTTTGATTTTAAAAAAAAATAAAAATTGATAAAATATATATTTGACAAGTTGATAAAAGATGTACGATTATATTAATTATTAAGATTATTCTGTTTGAACGTTTGAACAGGCCATGGTGTCAAGGACCGCAGCTTTACTTAGCCCCTTGACACTATCGCAGCCGTAGTTTGCCCAACTTCGTCCCCACATTGTAAATATTACTTCAAATTTGAGTTGTAATTTTTTTTCATTGTAATAGTTATTTCAGTTGTAAAATAGCTCTGATTTTAGTAAACGTTTAGTATGATTCCTCGTCTTTTAAACGTCTACTTCTGTCACATAGGTTTTTGTTCAGAATGCTATTATAGGGGGTATTAGTCATTCAAAAATCTTTCAAGTTCACTGGTGTCCACCCCCTGCACCAGCAATTGTAATGTTCTGCTTTCGTCAATTTTAATATTCAGTTTTTATCAATCAATGTTTAATTTACTTTCAATGTATTCAAATTTTCTATTGTAAGCTTTCTACAAAATTGTAATCAAATTTTCTTTCGTCCCAACGCAATCGAGAAAAAGCGGAAGGTTGTCTAACGGAACAGACGCACGGTGTCCCTTTCTGTGCCAAGAAGAAAGGCACCCCGTGAAAGTTGGTATCAGAGCTGCGGCTCACGACCCTCGATAAGAAAGCTATAGATCCAATTACATCCCACACCACTGAAGTGGAAAAACCTCAAAAGAAGAGCACCACTAAACAGCGCGTGGATGTACTTGATGAGACAACTAATAGGTTGTGCTATGCCTTGGACGGTCTCGAAGAAAAAGTCGAGATGGTCGAATCCGATATTCGTGGATTACACATCCAATTAGATGAAAGTTAAAGGGCTTGCGCAGCAATGACTGAAGTTGCTACAATCATTCCTAATCTGTAGGATGAAATGGAATCGTTACGAGCTCAATTGCGAGTACTCCAATGTACGGTGGGCAATGGGCAAGCTCCCGTACCTAAGTATGCTCCTAGACTCAGAATTCCTGAACTGTGTACCTACGGAGGGGCACGTGATGCAAAAGAAGTCGAAAACTTCTTGTTCGACATGGAAAAGTACTTTCTCGCAGCTTCGATCGAAGACGAAGCTAGAAAGGTAACCACAGCTACCATTTATCTGGGTGGAGATGCAAAACTATGGTGGCGAACCAAATATGCTGACATTCAGACCAACAGGGTCCGAATAGATTCTTAGGATCTCCTCAAGGAAGCGATCAGATCGCAATTTTTCTCGAAAAATGTCGAGTATCAGGCTCAACGGGCACTTTGAGACCTGAAACACACAAGCTCTATCAAGGAGTATGTGAAATCCTTTTCGGAGCATATGCTGAATATTCGAGATATGTCAGAAAAGGATAAGCTCTTCACCTTTATGGAAGGGTTGAAACCGTGGACACGCACGAAACTTCAAAGACAGAAAGTTACTGATTTGAGCACGGCCGTGGGAGCCATCGAATGCTTGAGTAACTACCAAACGGAATCTATAAAAGATCGACTTTCAGGGAGTAATCAAGCAATTGGAGGTGGTAACAGACCTTACAGACCCAGCTCGAACCCAAATGGGGGAGAGCGTTACTCTCAGAATAAAGAAGGAGCCTATCAAAGCATCCGTGGCTTTCAAGGAAACTATCATAATAGCCGTCAAGGAAATTTTAATGGCAGCAACAGCAACAACTGGAACAAAAGAAAAGCAATGGAGGGCCGAACTGGTGCCACTCCCAAATTGAAGTGCTTTTTATGCGAAGGACCTCATTGGGTGTCGGAGTGTCCTCAGAAGTAGATGGTAAATGCATACTGTCAGCTAGCAAGTGGCGGGTCAAGTTCAAAGCAAGAGGCCCCGCTGGCTAATTGTCATAGTGAGACCGACTCCGAAGAGGATGAGGACGTAGTTAGGGCATTTTCACATCGGTGCGACACACTATCGCATCGGGTTGCTGAAAAGGATGATGTCCCATTGAAAGAGGCAAAGATGGAAGAAGCGAAGGTTCGAATTTGTAGGCCAAAGGCTTAATGTACATTGATGTAAAAATAAACGAGAAGCCAATCAGGGCTATGGTGGATACTGGTGCTAACCACAACTGCCTTGCATGTACCGAAATAGAGCGGCTCGAACTTGTTCTGGAAAGGGGTAGTGGAAAAGTCAAAGCAATCAACTCCACTGCTCAACCAATAGCTCGAGTAGCGAAGTCGGTATTGATCAAGGCAGGACCTTTCGAGGGAAGGACAAATTTATTTGCGTTCAGATGGATGATTTCAAGCTAATTCTGGGATTAGAATTTCTTCGGGATATTAAGACAGTAGTGTTGCCATATTCCAATTCGTTAATGATGATGGGTAATAAGTCGCGTGTCATCCCTACACAGGTTGGGAGGATGGGCGAGAAAAGTATCTCAGCCATGCAATTTAGTAAGGGTTTTAAGAGAAATGAACCTTTTTTTGTGCACTCTTCGATTAGAGGAGATCGAAAAGGTGAATGGTCTTATTCCAATACCCATTAAAAGGTTTATTCAAGAATTTGAGGACATCATACCGGACGAATTAGCAAAGAAATTACCACCAAGAAGGACGATTGATCATGAGATTGAATTTATTCCAAGTGCCAAACCTCCCGCTAGGGCACCATACCGTATGCCTCAGCCTCAGCTTGAAGAGCTTAGGAAGTAATTGGGAGAAATGTTGGAGAGTGGAATCATTGTGCCTGCGAAGTCGTCATATGGAGCTCCTGTATTGTTTCAGGAAAAGGCCGATGGTTCTCTTAGAATGTGCTGTGACTATCGAGCCTTGAACAAGATTACTGTAAAGAATAGCAACCCTATCCCACTGGTTGTGGATTGCTTTGATCGACTGAGTCGGGCGAAGTATTACACAAAAATTGATCTTAGGTCTGGATACTGACAAGTTCGGATCAAGGAGGGAGACGAAGCAAATACTACGGTGGTAACCAGATATGGAGCCTTTGAATTTAAAGTGATGCATTTTGGTTTGACAAACGCTCTAGCAACATTTTGTATTATGATGAATCAGGTACTTCACGGGTTCTTAGATGACTTTGTCGTGGTGTACTTGGACGACATAGTAGTCTACAGCGAGACATTGGAGAAACATATCCGGCATGTGAGGCAAGTTTTTAATCGGCTACGGGAGAATGAACTCTATGCCAAACCGTCTAAATGCTCATTTGCTCAGATATCTATCAGTTTCTTGGGTCACATCATTGAACAAAGTAAAATCCGCATGGATTTGAAGAAGGTTACAGCCATTAAAGATTGGCAACTACCAAAATCGTACATGATGTGCGTTCATTTCTTGGGTTATGCAATTACTATCGAAGATTTGTGAAAGGCTACTCAGAAATTGCACTGCCATTTACCGAATTGACAAAGAAGGCTAAGGATTGAGATTGGTCATCCCAATGCCAAACTGCTTTTGAAAGGTTGAAGAAGTTCATGTGGACGAACTCGGTTTTAGCCTTACCAGATATGACTAAACCATTTGAAATTCATATAGATGCTTTAGATTTTGCACTTGGTGGAGTCCTCATGCAAGAAGGACATCCGGTAGCATATGAGAGCTGGAAGTTAAACCAAACAGAGCGTTGTTACTCGACACATGAAAAGGAATTGTTGACAGTAGTCCATTGACTCAGAGGATGGCGTCACTATTTGCTTGGGTCTTCATTTATTGTGAAAACAGATAACACTGCAGTTAGTCACTTCATGTCCCAAACAAAACTATCGAGCAAGCAGGCTCGTTGGCAGGAGTTTCTTTCAGAGTTCAATTTTATGTTAGAGCATTGTCCCGGATCTAGTAATCATGTTGCTGATGCTCTTAGTCGTAGGGTCGATTTGGCTGCCATTTGCTCCGTACTGCTCTTTCAGGGAGCGCCGTCTCCACGAACACTAGAGACCAAATTTGGGCACTTATGGAGAAGGATCCGGCTACTCAATATTTGGTCGACCTCATCAAGTAGGGTAAAACCCGACAGGGGAACTAGTGAAGACAAAGGGAGACCGCCTATATGTTCCTAAGGGCGGAGATTTGAGGAAATCACTAATTACAGAATGCCATGACACGATTTGGATAGGGCATCTTGGAGAGGAACGCATTTGTGCACTACTGCAACGTGCATACTACTGGCCTCAAATGCGGGACGACATTGCAACCTATGTAAAAACCTATCTTATTTGTCAGTAAGATAAGACAGATCTTCAGAAAAAGGCGGGCTTGCTGGAGCCCCTTTCCGTCCCAACCCGGCCATTCGAAAGTGTATTGATGGACTACATTATTGGGTTGTCAAAAGTTGAGGATTTTGGCACTATCATCGTTGTGGTGGACCGTCTATCAAAATATGCAACTTTCATTGCAGCACCTAAGTATGTATCCGCGAAAGAGACAGCTCAACTCTTCTTCAAACATATTGTCAAATATTGGGGATTGCCTAAGGACATCATCAGTGATTGAGATCCTCGTTCCCCAGGCATATTTTGGATTGAGTTGTTCAAACTTCTTGGTTCAACTTTGAGCATGAGTTCTAGTTTTCACCCACAGTCTGACGGATAGACGGAGCGCTTCAATTCTATGCTAGAAGAATATCTTCGGCACTTTATCTCTACTTCGCAGAAAAATTGGGTAAAACTTTTGGATGCGGTTCAGATTTGCTTCAATGTCCAAAAGAGCTCTTCTACCAATAAGAGTCCTTTTGAGATTGTTACTGGCCAGCAACCGCTACTCCCTCATACAGTGGATATCGAACAAAGTACCAAGTCCCCTCAAGCAAAGAACTTTTCTCAAGAGTGGAAACGAAAAATTGAAATTGCTCGGAGTTATCTTGAGAAAGCTCAAAAACGGTATAAGAAAGCTGCAAATCTAAAGCGCCGTTTCATTAAATTCAATGTTGGAGATCTGGTAATGGTTAAGCTTCCCGACAGAAATGTTTACAAATCAACAAGAGGGAATGACTCAAGATTGTCGCCAAAATACATTGGATCATTACCCATCGTGAAGAGGATTGGAAGAGTTGCATACAGAGTTGAACTCCCTTCATGGTGCAAAATCCACAAGGTCCTTCATGTTAGTATATTGAAGCCATACTTTGCGGATAAGGAGGACGCATCTAGAAATGAGCCAAAGCGACCTGTGTTTGAACTGAAGAAAGCTGGAAAGAAAGTTGTTGAAGCTATTCTTAACCATCGAATCACTCGAGCTTCTAGAAAAGATCATCAGTAGTACTTGGTCAGATGGATTGAATGCAGCAGCGAGAAGAATACTTGGGAAAGAGAAAAAGATCTCAGAGCCTTTAAACCATTAATTGAAGCATATCATGCATTGATGGCACCGAGGATATTGCCAAAACAAATGGGGGAGAATGTCAAGGACCGCAACTTTACTTAGCCCCTTGACACTATCACAACCGTAGTTTGCCCAATTTCGACCGCACATTGTAAATATTACTTCAAGTTTGAGTTGTAATTTTCTTTTCATTGTAATAGTTATTTCAGTTGTAAAATAGCTCTGATACTAGTTAATGTTTAGTGTGATTCCTCATCTTTTAAACGTCTACTCCTGTCACTTAGGTTTTTGTTCAGAATACTACTATAGGGGGTATTAGTCATTCAAAAATCTTTCAAATTCACTGGTATTCTCCTGCTGCACCAGCAATTGTAATTTTCTGTTTTCTTCAATTGTAATGTTCAGTTTTCATCAATCAATGTTTAATTTATTTTCAATGTATTCAAATTTTCTATTGTAAGCTTTTTACAAAATTATAATCAAATTTTCTTTCGTCCCGATGCGACCGAAAAAAGGCGGAAGATAGTATAATGGGGGCAGACTACTGCCGTACGGTGCCTCTTTCTATGCTAAGAAGAAAGACACCCCGTAAAACATGGTCATGTTCAAATAGTAAAATCCTAATTATTAACTTTGACTAATATTTTTATCACGTTTTCAACCTAAATCAAACAGCGATTGAATAATTTTACAGTTAAAATCAAATTCATTTTGATGATTTTATTCGATTTCAAAAAAATTTCCCTTAACGAATAAAATATTTCAGAAGCATAGACACTTTACCTTAGTTACGGTTCAATGTTACTCTTATCAAACACCATACATAATTTATGATAAGTTTGGATGGGTTTCAATGTTTTTAACTATGAGAATCGAATGGTATATAAATGGTAATTTTAGTTCAAAATTGAAATGTTAACGAGTCCATGCACCCAATCCAACAATTAAAAAACAATTATTTTAGTTTGATTTGCCAATTTTTTGTTCAGCCTCTCAAATGGCAAGATACTAATTTAAGTCAAAACTTATTCTTTTATAGTGTAACTCCATAGTCCCCAAGAAGTAGTGCCAAATTAGTTTATAGCCGACAAATAGGTCGACAATGTTTAGTTTAAAATACTTCTAGCATAATTTTGAACATTAATAAAGATAGAGATAATTAAATCTACATCTTCTTTTTTTTTTTTCCTGCATTATATTTTAATTGGTTTGAAAAGTTATGAGGAAAGCTCCGCTTGAATCCTTGGAAGACTTGCAAGAGATAGAGAATCAAGAAAAAGTAAAACCCCGTTTGGTATCCATTTTTTTTAAAATGTATTTCTCTCTCTCTTCTTTTCAGCTGCACATTTTTTATTAAAATAATATTACACGTAAATCAAAAAAATTTCCTTATTTTTCAACCACACATTTCACATCAATTTACCATTCTAAAATGTATTTTTACAAGAAAATGAATATCAAACACCCCTAAGGAGGATGGCAGCTATAGCAAAAAACAAAAGAATTGTCTGGTGGTCAATTCCATTTGCATCCCCAAGAATAAGGAAAAAATCAACAGCTCGGTAGTATTTTTTTTATCTTTTTATTTCATGGTTTAATTTGGATTATGAAAGACAAAAACAATGAACTATTGTAATCTTTTGTTGGACTTATGAAGCCAAAAACAATTTGCATGAGTTGAATAAAATTGCAAATTCTGGGATTTATACTTGAATGAAATTGTATTCGTATTCTGTTTGGTCATTTGCAATTTCGGGTAATTAGATGAAATTGTATTGTGTCTGATATTTTGCTGGTTAATTGCATATGGTAATTTATAATTGAAATGTTGTACTTGTATAATAGTTAAATGAAATTATGTTCTTGGTGTATAGTTAAAATAAAATGGCAGGATTTGCATTTGATAATGCCTTTGGTAATTTATTGGGATGAAATGACAAGTTCTTGATGTATAATTGCATTTGAGTACATAGATATTGCCTTTGGTACAAATGCAAGAACATCATATAGGTCTTCTAGTATTATTATTTGAAACTCCAAAAACTTCTGGTTTCTTCTCATGATACGGCGCTCAACACTATTACTATATCCATTAACCTGACAATTATATCAAACAGCCAAACACTTAAAACGACACCCTAATAATTTTTTCCCTATGATTCTAGTCACAAACAACAACCTACCAACTACAATGCATGAATTTGTGAAACAGTCTTCACTTTGATAGTAACAAAATCCACTAAACACAAAAAGGTCAATGACATTGCAAGGACCTCCAATCCCACCTAATATAGTTTCAACAATCTGCTCATCCAAAGCTCCTTTTGCTGTATATCTTTTGACCATTATCACTATCTTGCACCATGGATGAACAA